AAAAATCAATAATCATGGTTTTGGCCTAAAAACCATGGTTTTGTGAGAAGCATTTTACATCTACTTCTAGAAATAAAAAAAAGAGAGTGTCAGCTGGTTTTGGGGAGAAGGATTTTGACCAGATGATTTAGCCCAATTATTCTATGTTATTTCATATCATTTTAAGGGTATTTATCATAGATTTTGGCTCCTTTTGATGATAATTGTGCTTAATTTAGATTAAGAGTCCTTGCTTTGAGTTAGTGTCTTTTTGAGGTTAAGATTGTCATAATTGGTTATTAATTGTATTCAGTTGATTTCTAGGACAATTGATGCTTCAAATTGTTGCTTTTTATTGTAGGACAATTGAGAATTGGAGCCAAGATCAAAGACCAAAGGATGACACAACACAAGATCAGAGTATCAGCACTAATAGAGTTCGCCGCGGCGTCAAATTGAAATCTCACCAGTAATCTCTCGGGCAGAGTTCGCCGCGGCGAAATCACAAGATTAGGCGGAGCTCCTCTCGGGCATGCTTCGCCGCGGCGAACTCTTCGTATCAGCAACGCCAGATCCGGATCAGAACGCGAAAATGGAGCTTCTAATCATATGATCCGACCCAGATGGACCCCTAAAACCCTTAGAAACCCTATTTTCGACCAGACACTCCATTCCATCTCCTACAACACCTCTATTCTCCCATCCTCTTGCCTCTCCACCTCCATCTTCTTCCCCATCCATTTCCTTCATCTTTCATTCACTCCATCTCAATTCCTTCCACTCCCAGCTACCATGGCCGACGGATTCACTTCAGTTGGAGCTTTTCTTGAAGCTATGGAGAGCTAGGGTTTATCAACTCTTGAAGAATGGTGGTGTGGCTTGAGTTCCTAAGCTTCAAAGGGGAGTTTAGTTTCAGTTTGCAATTTTTAGCTATGATTTATGGCTTTCTAGGTCTAGGAGTTGTAATTTCTTAGTTAGGAACTTGGGACTGATACTGTAATTATTGGTTAATGATTACATTTGTAATTTGGATTGATTGATGTTGAACTTTGTGCATAAATATATGTAGTTGCATATATGCTTATTGTAACTCTCATGATTCTCTCTTATCTTGCATAGTTGTGTTTGGGTACTGAGTTGATTGTGTGTTTCATTAAGCCAATTGCATGATCATTCCAAAATTACACATTAGGGAAGCTTAACAAAGTTTTCATTAATGAGTTCATTAATGTAAGCTTTGGACTCAATGAGTTATTGAGGTTGTTATTAAGAAAACCTAATGATTTGTGAAACTCCCAATATTTTAAGTGAACTATGATTGCCATCAAAGTCATTTTCAAGAGATTTCCTATCATTCATTTCCATTCCATCATTATTATCTTAAAACACCAAAAATATAGTATCTTAGGTTTGTTTTCATTGCATTTAGTTTAGGCACCATTCATTTAAGTCTTAAAACCCAAAACCCCATTTCATTGCATTGCATGGCATTTAGTCTAGCTTAGGTAATTAATAAAGGCTCCCAAAAGTGAAACGACCCGAGTTTGCACTATACTGCATAGCTTGGATTTATTTTTGATTGAGAACCCCAAGGCGAACGACAGAAAAACTCTCTTTCACCAGACATATGTACCTCTTCAGTCCTTCACTGTTCAGAGGTAGTATATTGTCTTCGGTCCTTCACTGTTAAGAGGGAGTATATTGTTTTTTTGGACCAAAAAAGAGGTAGTACGTTGTTATTATTGTTTTTTCAGTTTTTTTTTTTACCAGAAAGTATTTAAAGCAAATTAATATTTTTCTGTTAGAAAAAAATAATCATTTTTCTATAAATATATTTAATCTTATAATTTATAAATATATATACACATATTAATTATTTATTAATTATATTATCTTATATATTATTAATTATGTTAGTAAAAATTATTTTATTAACAATTTTATTCCTTCAAATTAAAATATATTATAAAATCTATCCCTTATATAATTATCATATTAACTTATACTATTTTTAGTAATTTGTACATATAAAAAGTACTTTTGATAACAACTATCCAAACACTCTCACTTCTCAGAATCACTTTTTCACAAAATCTATTCTTCACAAACTATTCTCCAAACCATGGTTTGGTTTTATCCAAACACCCCCTAAAACTATTTCAGCTAATTTCTTTCTTTCAACACCTTTTTTTTTCGTTTATTTTTTCTTCAATCGCAAATGCAAGTTGCTGGGTGTTTCAGTTTCAGAATCAAAGAAAGTTGCATCTGGATCTGTCCATGATACATGTACTCATTCAATTCAATCCTTGTGAAAAAAATATATCAAAGATGGATACTACTGCTCTCGGATGCTCTCGGATTGTGAAAGCCTGTGAGATCAAAGCTAGAAAGCCCAAAGTGTGTAATAAAGGCGGAAGCCATGACTGTTTTGCTGTGATGAGATTAAAGGTCACGATTACAGAAAAGGATGGTTTGTGGGGATTCACTCGCCGCTCATGTGGGTCTATTACCATCTGGAACTCCGTTAATAATGGGCTGTTTGGGAAGCAAAATAAACAAAGTGAACCATAAATTAGTTGTTTGATTGGAAGTACAACATTAGTTTTCACCAGTGAAGGGTTACATCATACCAAACAGGGGATTTCTATCCAATTGGTAGGTTGGTAGCTAACATGTACTCCTTCGGTCCTTAATATAGGACCCAATTCTTGAATTGGTTTTGATCCTAAATATAAGACTCATTTCCCATATTTATCAATTTTCTCTAAATTATCCCTATGAATACTCCCTCAACCATGATCAAATAGAAGAGGGAGAGGAGGTATTAAGAAAGATGATTATGGTGTTTTAGGAAAAATGTGTCACTTTTTTTATACTTAACTAACTTACCTAACTTCCTTAATCTAATCAAATTAGTTAAATGGGTCTTATATTAAGGACCGGAAGAGTAATATATAAACTCTAAAACAGGGTGTGTGTGTTTTTATGAAATTATAGAGACGACAGAAATATCTCAGAATTTGATCAATTTAGACATTCAGGCAAAGCAAAAACTGTCGTTGAGTTGTCTAAGCCTGACGAATTGGACTTGTGCTACCAAGAAGCCCATGTGAACTCCTAAAAAGGGACTTAGGGGGTGTTTGGGAAAAAAATTACCCAAACACCTATCAGAAATCACTAACCATGGTTTTGGGCTAAAACCAAAATCATGGTTTTGTTAGAAGCAATTTGAATATGCTTCTGGGACAAAAATGAGAGTGTCAGCTAGTTTTAGAGAGAAGCATTCTGACCAGACACATATACCCCTCAATCTTCCACCTTCGGTCCTTCACTGTTTAGAGGTAGTATATTGTTTTTTTTTTTACCAGACAAGAGGTAGTACGTTGTTATTCAGTGCTGTTTTTTCTGCCTTTGGTATTTTTTTTATTCACTTCTTTTCTGTTTACAAAAAATTATTCATCTTTTTCAAAAATATTTTTAATCTTATATTTTATACTACCTTTGGTCCTAATTATAAGAAATAGTTGACTAATTTGAAGAGATTAAGGAAAGAAGTTAAGTTAGTTATTTGTAACAAATAGGTGTTATCTTTCTTAAAATATTCTTACTAATCAAGTGAATTGGTTAGAACTACCATGTTAGAAGGATTACTTTGGGAAAAAATGTATAAATAAGAGAGAACAAAGTGGATTTGGATCTTATATTTAGGATCAAAATAAAAATCAAACAAGGTCTTATATTAAGGACCGAAGGTAGTAAATGTTTTTACAGACGTAGTAAATTATATTAAAGATGAGAGGTAGTATGTTATAAAAACCAGTTGTGAAAAAATATTATAGAATTTCATGTTTAAAATCTTTAAAGCAAATTAATATTTTTCTATTAGAAAACAATAATCATTTTTCTATAAACATATTTAATCTTATAATTATAAATAAATACATATTAATTATTAATTAATTATATTATCTTATATATTATTAATTATGTTAGTAAAAGTTATTTTATTATAATTTTATTCCTTCAAATTAAAATATATATAAAATCTATCTTTTAATTGTTAACTTATGCCCTTTTTAGTAATTTGCACATATAAAAAGTGCTTCTGATAATAACTATCCAAACACTTTCACTTTATTAGAATCACTTTTTCATAAAATCTATTCTCCAGAAACTATTCTCCAAATCATAACTTGGTTTCATCCAAACACCCTCTAAGTTCTGAGTATGCCATAATAAATTGACCAGTTTTCCATCCCAGCACTGTTTCTGGGAAAAGATAAATTCTACCCTCTTAGTACAGCATACACATTGTATTCTTCTCGTGTTTCAACCAAAGAAACTCCTATCCATTTTCTTTTACATTGATTTTTCCCGTCAAAATTATAGGTTTTATATCGTTATTATGATACAAAGGGGGTAGATGACAAATCAACACCTCTCAAGTCGAGAATGAGATATCGCTCTAATACGTAGCATTCCCTACCACCTTTTCCTTATCTCTAGAGTCTAGACTGAGATTCGTCCAAACTTTAAACGTTTTGATTTTGACATGTCTTTGTTTGGAGAGAGGAGAGTTCTGAAAGAGAGTGCTCATTAATTCATTGGTCAAAAGGCTTGTTTTATAGTTTTCCCTGAAGGAATCGTGGGTTTTATGCACACCATTATTGCAGTTCTGTTTTCGGCTGGATATGGGAATTAAGGGGATAGGGAAAGTGAAATGCATACATAAAGCGTCGAAGAGGTTTCTTGTTTATTTCTTCTTTTTTTTTTTGACCAAAAGGTTTCTTGTTTATTTCTCATCTTTCAGTTTTCTGGTTTTGTTAACTTTATAACCATTTCTGCACACATTCTACTGACTTGGGAAACTTTGCATTGGGAATTGTTTTTTCCGTAACATGGAAATGAATGCTTTCACATTTAATATTAGTCTATTTATTGAGAACTGGGAATGGCTATTTGATATTTTTAAAGTGCAGTCTGATATGAAAAATTATCTTTGTTTTTTTCAATCTATTGACATGGCGGCCTTCCTAGCAAAGAGGGAGTGGAGAAAGATGTGGAATAATCTCTCTGAAGCCTCAGACCCAATGAAGCAGGTAAAATTTTGAACCCGCGGATTCAAATAATGCAAGAGTGATTAGACTTGTGTATTTATGATTCCGATATGCAGGATACGCGATACTTTATGGAGAATTTTGAAGCTAGGAAGAAACAAACCCCGGCGAGCGACGTCCAAAATAATCTGAAGCAAGAGGTACGATACAACACCTTGACATTTCATTAAAATTCTTTTCTTGCATGTATTTCCAGCACAGTGCAACACTAAATTATTTTTGCTGGACTTCTGCATATGCCTATTTTATGTGCAGATTTTACAACTTGAGAGAAGATTACAAGACCAATCTGAGGTGAGATGCGGATTAGAAAGAGCACTTGGGTACAAACCTTCATCTTTTGTCGATTCAAACGACATCGTGCTGCCTGAGGTGACACCATATCGATCTTCAATGACTGTAGCATAAAAAGTTTGTTGCCTGCGTTGTTTAACTACTTTTAGTTTTCCATATGTTCATGCACGGCTTGATGATTGCCAAGATTTGACTGCCATATGTGTTGCTTTTGACTGCAGCCAGCAACTAAACTGATAAAAGAAATTGCAGTGTTGGAGTTGGAAGTTGCGTATTTGGAGCAACACCTTCTATCTCTGTATAGAAAAGCATTTCATCAACAATTATCTTCTGTGTCCCCATCTGCCAAGGACGAAAGATGGAAACTCTCTCTAAGGACTCCAAGTTCATTTCTTGAAGTTTCCAAGCCTTGCAATTTTCCAAATGCAGGAAGTTCTGCCGTAAGATATAATGCTCAGGAGCTTGAGGCTCCAGCAGGAGATCAGTATAATGGAAATGGATCAAAAGAAAAGCTATTTGATTCCAGCATTTATCGTTGCCATTCCTCATTATCCCACAGTTCTGCCTTCACAGCAAGAACATCTCCTGCAGAATCATTAGCTAAAGCCGTATATGCCTGTCATTCTCGACAATTGTCCATGATGGAGGTGTGCTCAGCTTTGGTCAAATTACTGTAAAATAGAAAGAGAAAAGTGTTCGATTATGTCCCTTTTAAAATCGTATCTCTGACATATTTCAACGCAGTATCCTGAAACAGCTTCATCAAGCATGATCAGTCTGGCAGAACACGTTGGCACTCGCATGTTTGACCATTTTCCAGATACCCCTAATAGGATTTCGGAGAATATGGTGAAATGCATAGCAGCAATATATTGCAAGCTCGCAGAGCCACCTATGGCATATCATGGCATATCATCGCCAAGTTCATCTTTTTCATCGATGAGTGGATTTTCTGTGGGAGGACAAGGTAACATATGGAGTCCAGGGTTCAGGAATAATTCCTTCTTCGATGTAGGCCTAGACAATCCTTTCCCAGTGGAAAGAAGTTGTCACCACGCTGGGCCCTACAGCTCCATGTTCGAAGTCTCATGGATTTACAGAGACAGTCTACAATTGGGTGATACAGAGAATTTGCTCCAGAGTTTCAGGTAGATCATCTGGTCAAGCCTGATTGGCCTTTCAAGTTAATTGTGATGGTTGGCAAAACCTGTCTTGTTGTTCCAGGTCTCTCACTTGTCGTTTGGAAGAAGTAGATCCCGGGAAGCTGAATCACGAGGAGAAGCTGGCCTTTTGGATCAACGTACACAATGCTTTGGTGATGGATGTAAGTATTTCCCGCCCTTTAGAATCTAGAGAATTTGGCTAATTTGACTCATTGCCTTATGCAATGCTCTCTTTAATTTTTAGGCATATTTGGCTCATGGGATTCCACAAAACAACGTGAAAAGAGTCCTCCTTCTTATGAAGGTGAAATTCCGGTGTAGCCTTAATTAGTATCCATTTAATTCCCCGTATTTGCTTACTATGTTTTTATTGTCTTTTCAGGCTTCATATAACGTGGGTGGACGCCCAGTTAGTGCTGATACCATACAAAATACCATCCTGGGATGTCGTACGTCTCGACCCGGGCAAGTATAGTCCACTACCTTAGCCGATGCACTCTGCATATGTAAATAATAATCAGAAAAATATCTCTTCAATATATATATGTATATTCTCCTTATGAAGTGGTGACTCTCCACTTACAATATACTAACTCCAGTTCTTCATATAAAAGCTAGTTAATTAATTTGAGTACATTAAAAAAACTAATTCAGCTTGCTATTTGTAATAAATATATATTATCTTTCCTAAAATATCCTTGCTAATTAAGTTTATTGGTTAGAAGTACTATTATTACAAGGACTACTTTGAAAAAAATAAATAAATATGAGAAATAAAATATATTAAAGTCTTATAATTAGGACCAAAACAAAAGTCAAATAAATTCTTATATTAAGAACTAGAGGTAGTATATAAACAGATATTTTCTTGTCTGTGTGAAGAATTCATTCATATTGGTTTAAGCATGATGTGGCATTTTAAACCAAGTTTCTTGTTTTATGCTTTCTTGGGTAGTGGGTTCGGTTGTTGTTATCTCCATGGACGAAGTTGAGGAGTGGAGATAGACGAGAAGCATATGCAATAGAGCGTGCAGAGCCTCTTTTACACTTCGCACTCTCCTCAGGAAACCATTCTGACCCAGCTGTAATACATTTTATTGACTTTCTCCTGCAGCTTCTTATTAATTTTGTTGTGTGTGTGTGTGTAATATTGATATGAAAGTGGGAAATGTGTGAAGGTAAGAGTATACACAGCAAAGAGAGTGATGGAGGAGCTGCAAGTGGCAAAAGAAGAGTACATTGGAGCTACGTTAGGGATACGAAAGGATGAGAAGATAATGTTACCAAAGCTGGTGGAGGCATACGCAAAGGACTCGGGGCTCAGCCGTATGGGTGTGATGGAGATGCTTCAACAACAATTCAATAAATGTCACACTCCAAAATCATCACCAAACGCCATCCACTGGATTCCCATAACTTCTCTTTCCGATATCTCATCTCTAACCACCTCCTCTTCCTCACCTGACCATTCCTTCATTTATCTTCTTATTCCATTACCCTGTATATGTTTTCCTGCGCTGGATGCCAATTATTACTTGTACTGTGCTGCGTTTTTAATCAGCGTAACAAACATGTAATTAAATTCTGTATTGGTGGAAGCCAAATTATATGAAACTGATTGTGATCTGTGTTTGATCTTAAATTATTGAAGATTAAATTCGAGTTGGATAAGAAAGTTTATTCTACAACTATTATTGCATCATATATAATGTATCCCGCATATTTCATGGATTTTTTTTAAAAGTATTTCATGGATTTGTATTAGGTTAATATCATTGTTGTTAGTTCTCGTATGACCAAATTTTGATTTTGATTCTCACAGTTTCATATCACTAATTTTAATCTTTATAATTTTATAAGGACTTGGTAAAAGTTTAAGAAAGTTTAAGACCTTAAGTATAGAAATTAAAACTAAAACTTATAAAACTATAAGAATCAAAACAAACTATCTAAAAATACTGATTAAAATCAAAATTCGATTCAACTATAAAAATTAATGATTATATTAACTCGTTTGTATTTTATGTTTCAGCAAAAAAAATTTGGGGCAAAAAACCGAATACTGTTAGAAAGCGATGGATGTAAGCTCGAGTGACCTTCCTTTGACAATTATGGGCTTGGATTTGGAAAGTATAAGTGTCTGTTTGGCAGGGCATTTATGGAGCTTAAAAGGAGATTATTGGTGTTACAAGCCTGATCTGTGATTTGTCTCTGTTTGGATAAGCTTTTAGTCTACTTAGCTTATAAGTCAAAAGCCGGCAAAAAGCATAAGCTGAGAAGAGAAGCTTATAACTTATGGAATCGTGCGTTTGCTTTAATAAAAAGTCCTGGAAACATTTATTGCAAATTTAATACCAAATCTGCCTTCTAGCTCTTCTCCCTCATATGTTGATTTTTTGCATTTTCAAATTTTTTAATATAACACAATTTTCTAAAACGTTATCATATGATAAATAACTTTTATTATTAACGGTTTTTTTTAATATTTTACCATATGTAAATGTAATATACACAAACATACATGAATATATTCATACCCATTTTGGTCATTTTACAACCAAACTTACTTTTACTCAACTATAATCCAAACAAACTTTTACCAATCTTACTTTTACAAACTAGCTTTTCTGAACTCCAATCCAAACACAATTCAACTTATCCAATTTAGCTTTTACCAACTTCACTTCTCCATAAGCTACTTTTTCAATAAGCTACTTTTTCAATCGCTGATCCAAACGGACCCTAAATAGGCTTAGCTTAGGGAATTAGGTTTCCTTCGGCATTTGGCGATATGGCCTTAGACTTTAATAGCACTTTACTATTTGTAACAAAAAATAAATCATATATAGGACAGTATTACTTTTTGTTTATGTGATATGATTGTGCTTTATATAATTATATGTTTGTTTTACATATTCTCTACATAAAGAAAAATAATTAGATAAAATTTTTATATTTACTATATCAAATTTTTTCTGTTATATATGACCATATGTCTTATTTTTAAATATAAATTTATAATTAAATAATAATATTTTAAAAATAAGACATTTGACAACTTATAGTTAAAATAATTACTTAATATAATGAATATAAGGAATTTAATGTAATAAATATTCTCCTTATACAAACATTTAACATTATTTTTTCCGTCTCAATTTATAACACGTTTCGAGCAGCTTCATGTCTGATAATATAAAATGTTTGGAGAAAACAATAATCTTGTTTCAAAAATGCCCTTCATTAAGTGTGACCTAATTAGGAGTCAATGTTATGTGAAGGACATTTTTTAATAGTTATATCTCTTTTGCAAAAGATTAATATTTCCACATTCAAAAACATCTTGTAAATTAAAGTAGTTATTATGAAAGTTTAATCTTTAAATATTTATATTTTCAGTTATAAAAGGACCCGCTCCGGTCTCCAAAACTTAAAGACGTAAAATGTAATTGGACGGCATTGTTTTAAGTTTTGACTTTTGACTGGATGGAGACGTAACAAGGTTAATCGGTTGTGGAGGATAACAATCAAAATTTCGATGATTTAAAATAAATTAAAACTTTTTTTTGGCCATAAATAAATTAAAAGCTTGGAGTCTTGGACTTCGACTTCTAAGCTATCATGCACAAAATTCCTGTGGACAGCAATGTTTGTAATTTCCGGTCACCTTCCTTTGACTATTTAGTAGTATCTACGTCACTCTCAGGAGTGGAGACTTGAAGACTTGGAATTTTCATTTTTGTAGTAAGAAATCAAACTAACTTTTTGTTAAGATGGAGGAGTAATTGGATTATTTATTTTTTCACAGTATTAAATTTATATAATTTTAGAGAAAATGATTTTATTTAATAATATTATTGTTATCATAATGAGGATAACAAATATTTTTATTTCATAAAAGTATAAATTCATAAAATAAATTTAAAATATATTCCTTCGATTTTACTTATAAGATAAGAGAAAAGACTCTTTTATCTTATTATAACTCACTTCACTAAATTTTTATATACATATACTATTTTATTCTTTATTTTTAATACATTGATTTTTTAAAAGCACATATATTAAATAGTTTTGTGAAAAAAGTATATATATACTCTTCTGGTTCTTAATATAGGACATAATTATTGAGTTGATTTTGGTTCTAAATATAATACCTATTTTCCATATTTATCAATTTTTCCTAAATTAACCATATGGATCTCCCTCAACTATAATTAAGTAAAAGAGGGAGAGATGATATTAAGAAAGATAATTATGATATTTTAGAAAAAAAATATGTCATATTTCTTATAATTAACTTTCATACCTAACTTTTTTAATCTAATCAAATTAGTTACATAAATTTTATATTAAGAATCGGAAGAGTATTAAATAAGAATAAATTAAAAAATTGTTAAATTTTAAAACAGAATTAACAAAATTTAATATTTTTTGATTTTGTGGAATGTTAGGTAAGTTGAGAAGTTTAAACTATTACTATTTATTCCACACATAAAAGTTTATGCTAGTGTGGTAAAATTCATCAAAATGGAAGCAAGCGCCCATTCAGAGTCATGCTCAGGAATGAAGTAGGCGCACTTTACGATTAATCACGTACCCCTCCCGATTTAAAATATAAACTAAATTTCATCTATTATGTTTATAAAAACTAACTAAATCAATTTAAAATAATAAATGTGTTAAGGCGTATATTTATTTTTTCTAATAAATTTTTATTAATAAAAAAAATAAGTAAAAGATGTAATAAATAAATTTAAAAAAATATATAGGGTAAAATTAAAAACAACTCATTAAATGTTTTAGATAAAAATAAATAGGGAAAATGACAGATAAAGAAGGCTGAAATAATAAAATGCCAGAATGGAAGCTAAGCAAATGTATTACCAGATAGGGAAGTGTTGCCTGATTTGGGATTATGCAAATGTTGCACAATTACAAAACAGCCCCTGTCAGTCAGCGTTTGAAAGCGGAGAGAGAGAAGGCGCGCGCGAACACTCCTGCACTGACCGTCGTGCTTCCCGGTTTCTCGCTTCCACCATCCCCATTGTTGCCCTAAAAACGCCGGCAAGCTGGACAGTTGAGGACCCCGAAATAGTGTGTGCGTAAGAGAGCAGAGGAGTTGGAAGTGGAAGGGCGTGCTGTTCGAAGGGCGAACGTGGTCGCGTCTGACTGATTGTGTGGAAAGACGAAGGTTGGCGCACGGTGATTCACCATTGCAGTTAACAAGCATCAACAGCATTTCAGTGAGGTAAGTTCAGGCATTTAAGTTTCGTGCTGTGGTCGACGTTTCTGGGTGAGTCTGGGAATCAATGATAGGGCAATATTTAGATATGACGCGATGAAGTTTGTGAATGACAGGAATGGCGATTAAGGGTTTATGCTGAGTCGCTATGGCAAGCTATTCTGTTTTTAATAACGTAGTTGAGAACTGGAAAAATGGGTTTTGAAATCAGTAGGAAAATTGTCTGATTGACTGGAAAAATGATATGAACAACTGGAAATGACAATAACATACTGGTAAATGACTATGATCGAACCTAAAATGACCATATTCATAGTAATGACCTTACTGTCTGAATGAGTGGAAAGATTATATGAATAAACTGGAAATGACAATACCAAACTGGTAAATGACTATGAAGGAACTTGAAATGACCATATTCATAGTAATGACCTTACTGTCAGACTGTAATGGCCATGTTGGTAATGACAATGAATTAAGTGGGAATGACCATATTCATATTAATGACCTAACTGTTAGTCTGTAATGGGCATATTGGTAATGACAATAAGTTAACTGGAAACGACCATATTCATACCGGCATCCTTACTGTCACTCTGTAATGGCCATATTGTAAATGACAATGAATTAATTGGAAATGACCATATTCATAGTACTGACCTAACTGTTAGTCTATAATGGGCATATTGGTAATGACAATAAATTAACTGGAAACGACCATATTCATACCAGCATCCTTACTGTCACTCTGTAATGGCCATATTGTAAATGACAATGAATTAATTGGAAATGACCATAACGAATCTGGAAAGAACTAGATGTGTAGTAAATGTATTAAAATTATGATTTAATGATGGTACCTTGATGACTTTGCAGAACTATACGAGATGGTGTTGGAAGAAGGGGAAGGGTCCACAAGCAAAGGAGTCCACAGTGGGCTTGTGTTGTTCAGAAGGGAGTATATGGCTAAACGAGGTGAGAAGTGTAAAACGCAAGAGAAGAAAAAATTGAAGTGGGGAAGGCATGGAGGGCCCTGAGTGAAGAAGAGAAAGATAGGTATAATGAGAGGGCAAGGAAAACGAAGCCACAGAAAGGTGAGAAGAAGAAGTATGATGTTCCCTTGTACACCCGGTGCTCATTGCCCGGATTTCTATCATTGGCTGAATATGTGAAGAAGAACAGGCGGTTGAGGCAGAAAGTTCAGAGGATGGGATTTGGGAACTTGCTTAATGTGAATGTGAAGCAACTTCCACGTGATCTACTTGTGTCATTGTTGAGATGCTATGACCCACCAACGCATTTTTTGACCATTAGAGGGCAAGGGCAGGCAAT